CAAAAGCCTGGGAAACACTAAGTTGAGAAGACGGTGTCTTAAAGAGGCTTTAGGTCTCATTATACTATTTATTCTTCTTGGGTATTCATTTATTCATGTGTAAAATGGGTTTATAGAGGGAAGTAAATAAGACAGACAATGCAATAGACCATAGTATGTTTTGAATCATACATTTTGGTTTTGTTAGTCTTATTATTATTTCTTATGCATTCATGGACACTGGGTTAATCATGCTTTCTTTTAAAGTTGACTCAATTCAATGATTTATTTTTTTACCCAAGTATTGAAGTTTACATTTAGAGCGTCAAATACGAAATAATAAAAATGTCACACCGGGTCGGCTAACTGGGGAGGACTATTCTTGGGCATGGGCATGTGTAATCTATGTGTAAAGTAGTATATTTTTGGCTCTGTCCCCAAGACTGTTGAATTTTGATCTGGATATTTTCCACTCTCGACTTAAAGAAAAAAACATCAAAAGGAAAAAATAGAAAGTTGGTCCCAGTGTTTTATAGGATCATGAGAAGTTCCAGCATCATGACTGATGCCTTGATAGTAAGTTCATGGTTTGGCATAATATATGAAAATAAAGTAAGGAGAAACATCCGGAATTCAGACTATGAAATTCTCTGACGAATCATGCATAAAAGAAGATACATGAAAATTAAAATTTTGGTCATATTAAAATTTTTAAAGATATGATAAAAGTCAGTCTCTTAACAAATCTGTTATTTGTGATAGGAAGGATTTGTGTATGAACAGATAAAATATATTACTACAAAAGCCAGAAGACCTTTATACAAAGAGGCAGCATAGACAACCTTGTATATGATCAGAAAGATTTCATCCATGCACACTTGCAATCATGTAGCACTTGTGCCGTTCCCATTTGGAATATCCATTGTATGGAAATAATAGTGAATATCCTGTCACTAGTTATTTATGCCCAGGAGAAATCAATGACATTCTATAAGTCATGGTTTTATTTCCTTTCAGATATATCAGCACGTCTCTCCTATGTGACTGACCTCCAGTTTGGAAAGTATACAGTCCCTGTCAGAGTTACAGATAGACTCGGCCTGTCACTTGTCACTCCCTTAGACGTGATATTATGTGACTGTGTTACCCCAAACGACTGCACCATTCGCTCAGGTCTGCGTACTGACACCGGAGAAGTGATACTTGGAAAGTGGGCCATCCTTGCAATATTGTTGGGCATAGCACTGCTATTCTGTAAGTCCTTTCATGAATTTAAACGATAACCTTTAAAGTAACTTTCAGGACACATTCTTAGAATCAACACTGTTACCTATGGCTGCTCATTTGTATATAGCTACATTTCTATTTAATACACACATATTTAATCCTTATATTGAAACTGCATGTTGGTATCATATCAGCGCTGTCGTAATTGCTGCAGACATAAAATTCAACACAAATACAGCACTGAGTGTGTCCTTGTTTGTGGCATTATCCATTTAAGGCAGGCTTTTCTAATGGATGCTGCTTTGACTCAAGCAATAGTATTTATGTTTTCCAGAAAGTTGTTTTTGTATTTGTCATCATAAATTCACAACATTCTTTTATGATAAACCAAAGTCATCTCTCTCATCCTGCAGGTGTCCTATTTACCTTGGTCTGTGGGGCTACTACTGGGGCAGCCAAAAAACCAAAAGTATTTCCTGATGATGTAACTCAGCAGAACCTCATCGTGTCAAACACTGAAGCTCCCGGCGATGACAAAGTGGTAAATTGTTTGTCTTTTCAAAATAGGTACAGGCGATAGGAATTTCCCTGGTGGTCAGTGGTTAAGACTCTGCACTTCCACTGTAGGGGGCGTCGGTTCAGTCCTTGGTCAGGGAGTTAAGATCCCTCCTACCATGTGGCTCAGCCAAATAGTATACATTCAAACAATAAATTTGCCTAAACAACTGTAGTGATCTTTTCTGGGAAAAGTTCTGTTGAAATCAGATAGCTTACAATATATAACATGTCATCAGTTGCAGGGGACAAATCAAATGACATTGATCCCATGGTGATATGTGGCATTTCAATTTGGCCATGTAATGTTACTTAATAGTAAAAATCCTTTGGCATATCGTTATTTTTTTTTTTTTCCTATTTCAAATGTGTCACGGCTTCAACTTTAAATCCTGTCTTTTATATATATTGAAGCTGCTGGTTGTGCTGTAAAAGGGTTTCATTTAGTTATTCACAGATCATCAGCATAATGGTTTTAATTTTTTTTCTGGCAGCAGCCATAAAATGGTTACAGGCTTTGATCATCATGGGAAGAACTTTAATGGAGGCTTTCAGGCTCTACTATGGGTTAGAAAGGAGCCTGCAGTCAAATATATGAAGCAATCATGCTAACAGGTGATTGCAGTGCTTCAGCATTGAGTTCTAGCCTCGTATGTGGATGAAGGAAAGAAGTGAAGGGAAAGTCACTCAGGCGTGTCTGACTCTTCGCAACCCCATGGACTATTCAGTCCATGGAATTCTCCAGGCCAGAATGCTGGAGTGGGTAGCCTGTCCCTTCTCTAGCGGATTCTTCTGACCGAGGAATGGAACCAGAGTCTCCTGTATTGCAGGCGGATTCTTTACCAACTGAGCTATGAGGGAAACCCTAGTATGTGGATGAGGGACAAATAAATTCCCTACCAAAATGTAATTGATGATTAGAGCAGAAAGGATCTAGAAAACAAAAGGATGTTGGCATCTAGGAAGGTATTAGAAAAAAGGAAACTTAGAGTTTCCTATAAAAACATAGCATGGAAAGTTAGTGTCCAGAGCTTTGGTGTCCTTACTTTCTCTGCTGATTTGTTTTTATTAAATTATATGACAAGTATTTAATATTGCTGCTTTTTACGGCAACTTGTCATTTCTATTAATTTTGTTTCAGTTGAAGGGAACTCAGTTAGTCACTGAATAAAAATACCGATTATTATTTCTGTTTCTGTTCTAGTCAGGTGAAGGGACTGAATTTAAGCAGCATCAATCTGTGTGAGACAATAGTGTGGAATCCTGAGATGTGAGATACTGGAAGGATTTCACAAATGAAGTTGTACAGTAGTCTAAGAAGTTATTAAAGAAGGAGTACACATTAAGTTTTCTGACTTAACTCAAGGCTCAGACCACTTGACATCTTGCAGTTGGCTTCCTGTATTGGAAGCTACCTAGTGAAGTAGTAAAATTAAGGTGGTTAGGTACTCAGGGTTGCCAATACAGATTGAATCCCAGCCCTTGGAATGCTTACCTCCTAGCATGAAAATTCATGGCATTATCTGCATGGTTTGCTCTTTTTCTCATTTTTTGTTTTTCTCTGTATTTCCCCATTGCCAACTGTTTTGTTTCAGTATTCCACAAATGGTTTCACAACCCATGCTGTGGGTGGCTCTGCTCAGGGAATTTGTGGCACCCTGGGATCAAGAGTGAAAACTGGAGGGCAAGAGACCATCGAGATGGTAAAAGGAGGGCACCAGACCATGGAGTCCTGCCAGGAAACTGGGCATCATCACACCCTGGAGCGGTATAAGGAAGGTGGACAGCACACTCTGGATTCTTGTAGAGGAGGACCAATAGCAGCCGATAACTGCAAATACACATACTCCGAGTGGTGCTCTTACACCCAGCCCCTTCTCGGTGAAGTGAGTCTCCCATAAATCTGTTTTGCTTTCTTTTCAACTTTCTAAATGATTATGAAATGATTATGATTTTGATATTTCACCTAATGATTAATCTACTCATTAGAAATTTGATTTTCCTCAATTTTGATTGAATTGCAATCAGAGGTTAAATGGGTATTGACTTTTCTTCCTGTTTTGTTTGGCTGTTCATTCTTTCTGAAAGAATGAGATGATACTTAAATTCTTTTTCTCATGGCCTTGTGTTGCCATTTTCCATCAGACAAATCAGATCTTAGAGACCAACAGTGGAATCTGAGGGAACTCCAACCTGCAGTCACTCTGCCTATCTGGAAAGCTTTGAGCCACATGCATTCGGGTTCAGTTGTATGAATGCATTTCACATTACAGAGAAAGCAATGATAACTTAAAACAAACGCTTGCGTACTTGCTGCCACATGTGTGACTTTTAGAAACCTGCTATGTAGTGAATTAATTGATGGTGTGATTTATGATACAGACCAATCATGTGCATTTTTTATACATAGGAATCCATTAGAGGACACACTCTGGTTAAAAATTAAACAATGAAAGGTAAATCAAAGCAATTATTTTTATGCTAGTAAGTCTTGGTGTTTAAAATAATAATAATAAAGTATGTTGTGTTTTTCCTCTTGGCAGAAGGTCCGGCAGTGTGATCAGGATAACACCCATATGCAAGCTCAAGACTATGTCCTGACCTATAACTACGAAGGAAGAGGATCAGCAGCTGGATCTGTGGGCTGTTGCAGCGAACGACAAGAAGAAGATGGGCTTCAGTTTTTGGATCATTTGGGACCCAAATTTAGGACACTTGCAGAAACATGCATGAAGAGATGAGTGCCTTCTAAATGGTCTACAAAAGTCAATGGTTTATCGTTGTTTTTTTTTTTTTGTATAAGCTAAGATTTTTTTAAAACATAGCAGATGCTATATTTGGGGCTATTCCCCTTTATTTTGTTGGGATCTCTTTAGCCAAATGCACATTCATTGAGGGATGCTGTAAATAACTACACAAATTTCCTGGCTTTTTCATAGTGTTTAGTTACTTATCTTCCACCTAAGGACACCTGCAGATAGACAAGAAAGTCTGCGTTTTTGTTTACATTTGGGTATAATGACAGCAGCCAATGTATAGTGCAATACAATGTAATGAATTCACGTGTATATCATAGATTACTTGAAGTAGAACCAAATGGAAAATTATAGAGACCTTGCTCTTAATTTAATCTTCAGTTACCTAACATTGATCATTTGTATGGTACTTAAAGACTGCTGTTCTCCTAAACATTCTGAAGTGTTTATACTGCATTCTTGATGTTGTTTTAGTCTTGTAACATGACCTGTCTTCATAAAGCAAGTGTTGACTGTTATTATAATTCCATTTTGGTGGAGTTTAGTTTCTACCTTGTATTCTTTGTGAAATCTGGCACTGAATTACACTTGCTCTGTTACTCACCTTCTCCGAATATTTACATTTTAAAAAATGTTGTAAGAGTGTATTTTTATTTCTGTGAGGTTTTGGTCTTTGGTCTCCTCGCCCCCGCTCTCCACTGCCCCCTCCGTCTCTGTCTCTCACCTTCTGTCTCCTCCCTTCGTCTCCTTCATTTCCTTCTCCCTCTCTCTCTCTGTCTCTATCTTGTTTGTGTTCTTAAAGTTTTTATTTGGGTTGGAGAATCTAAATATAGTTAAAAGCCATCTCTCTTTCCTCTCTTATAAAGTTCTGTGTTTCTGTTTTATATAAGCACCTGTATTCTTGGCTTTTCTTAAAAATCAATGTAATGTTGATTTTTTGGTTTGAACTATTTTGGTGCTTGCTTCATTATCTTCCCTACAAAGACCCTTTAATTTTGCCACTGAATTGTAGAAATATATCATGCTTTTATTAGATGCAGCATTGTATGTTAACAAAGGGAATACTGTAATTAAAATTGGGATGTGGACATTTAGTATATAAGAGTATATTTGTTTGGTTCTTAGTTGCTCAGTGGTGTCTGACTCTTTGTGACCGCATGGACTATAGATGCCAGGCTCCTCTGTCCCTGGGATTTCCCAGGCAAGATTACTGGAGTGGGTAGCCATTCCCTTCTGCAGGGGATCTTCCCCACCCAGAGATTGATCCCATGTCTCCTGCATCTCTTGCATTGGCAGGTGGATTCTTTACCATTGCACCACCTGGGAAGCCCAGTAGTATATCTAGAGTTCACTATTGCAAAGATCCAGTTTATAAATGCGAAATAGTGATGGTTTTTTAAATAAGCTTTGAAATGCAGGGATCTTAAAAGCAGTCTAAGAATAACATAGCTTTTTAGATGAGATAGCTAGTTACATCTATGTGTTTGTAAAGTTTTTTTTTTTAATATTATAAGATTAAAGTTTTTAATGAATGTAGAAGTGGTCCAAACTATTTAAATTTTGAATTAATAAGACAAAATTAAACTTATTAGCCAACCAAATTCCAGGCTAGGTTTCACAGCTGATTTCAATCAGTGAATTTTCTATCTATACTAACCATTGGACACATTTAAAAAATATTTCTGATATTTAGAATTGTTAATGATATACCTGCTTTTGGATTCATAAGATTGGCTTATACCAATTATTTTTAAGAATTAACATTGGGTAGTTCATTGAATACTCTGTTAATCTTTTCGGTAGTTTTATTGCTGCTCAGTCAAAACAACAGTTTCTCAATGTTATTTATAAAATTCTTGTCCATGACTAGTTATGATAAAGTAAATCAGGTAGTTTTAAAAATCAGTGTGTTTGTTAATCCTGTGTCTGATATGAGCTTATGGGATGGTGCTTTTCTTACTTAAAGAAGTGAGGTTCTTCTAGAATCCTGTTCTACACATTTTAGACTTCTAGAGTTTGATTTGGAGAGGTTTTTGGTTGTTACCATCACATTTATCTAATTTTACTGTTCTAAAGCCTGTGATGCTATGGAATGTTGGTTAAATTGTATAATTTTTCCGCGTCTGATTTTCTTCATCTAAAATGGGGGATAATAATAGAACTCCTTTTCTAGGGTTCTCTTGGGTTGGCTGTAAGACATTTGAATAAAAAATGGTTTTTAAGCATGAAAGTCACGCAGAGTGGTCCACCCAAAAGGCACTCCTAATAAAACTAAACAATTCTAAATAAGTTGCATGAACAACCCATTTCATGTTAACAAAAATCAATAAGATAATGGAAGAATTGTCTTTGTTGTTGTTTTGTTTTTGACTTTTGAATATCTGATAGTTGAACGTATGTTTCTTTGTAATGATCATCCAGTGACTGAGTCTTCTATTTCCAGTGTTTCAGAACATACATTGCAAAGATTGCTGAAGTATCTGCAAAGGATTGCTTTGTTGCAAGTAATATGAAACTACTTTGTTCAAATTGGATGGAAAGAACATCCACTTCTTAAAATGGGCTCTAATTCTGGACCCCTTTGAAAATTACATGTGCTTAAGACGATTCCTTCGAGCTTATTCTTAGCTGTTCTTCTAGCTTCTTCTACTAAGGAATGGTTTTCCTCAGAGGCAAGCAATTGCTTGCCTGGGAGTTTGACTCTTTGGCATTCACCGTGGTGTAACCTAAATGCAAACACTCCAGAAAGACCACCTTGATGCAAATGCCCAGCCCCGCCCTTGTTGGCTGTGGGATTGGAGAAGTCACTCAGACTTTGAGTCTAGTTTCCTCACTTGTATGACCTGTACTGAGGGTGTTGGAAGAGCCTGCATTTGTGCTAAGTTGCTTCAGTTATGTCTGACTCTTTTCGACCCCATGGACTGTAGCCTGCCAGGCTCCTCTGTCTGTGGGATTCTCCAGGCAAGAATACTGAAGTGGGTTGCCATTTCCTCCTCCAGGGGATCTTCCCAACCCAGGGATCAAAACCCAGGTCTCCAGCATTGCAGGTGGATTCTTTACCATCTGAGCCACCAGGGAAGCCCAATACATATATTGAGGGCTATCTCAGTGCCAAGTCTTTTCATGAATTAACTCTTAATTCTGACAGTTATGAAGCAGACTCTTCTAGTCCCTGGAGGAGGGGAGGGCCTGGCAACCCACTTCAGTATTCTTGCCTGGAGAATCCCCATAGACAGAGGAGCCTGGCGGGCTACAGTCCATGTGGTCGCAAAGAGTTGGACACGACTGAGCGACTAAGCAGACATGTATGTTACCTGCCGCTGTTATCATAGGAAAGGAAGGTGCCATAGTTGGGAATAATCATAGATCCAGGCTCCACTTTCTCTTTAACTGACATCTTGCCACGATGTTCCCATTTATTTTCCCCAGAAGCTTGATCAGTGTTTTACCTGTGATAGTCTTTGAGAACTTCATGGCTAGAAATAGTGTCCCGGTCTCTCATTCTTGGTAGTCAAGAAGCTAAATCATATACGTAGCCCACAAATCCATGTGATCAATTTTCAGACTTAAACGAAACGCAGATAAAATTCCTCATAAGCCATACACTGGTGTTGGAAGCAAAAAAGGAAGCAAAATTTTAGAGATTCCTTATAAAATACTGCTTCAACAGGGGAAACCTACAGGGAATTGTCATTAGTTCAGTGCAGTCTGCATTTGGGGGTCTCCATGTAATCATTTTCTGCTTTTAGGGATCCCCCATTTTGATACTGGCTTTATCTTGGTCCCCCCCCCCTTTTTTTTTCAGTGGAAAATCTGACTTTGACAACAAGCTTTCCTTTAATCTCCATCTCCAGCCTTTTCCTGGGCTCCTGATGGAAATCTCAAGCCCAGATTTTTTCCTGGTCATCCCCTTAGGCAGTAATGTCCTGAGGACAAAACGCTTCCTTCTATGGACCTAGAACCATCATTTTTTTCTACCTCCATGCATAACGAAGCTCTAAGTGGTTGCATGATATCTGTGTAGGTCTATACCTCTCATTCCCGTTCTTCAGTGAGACCCATGTTACTCTGATAACTTTTAACTCATTATGAGTAAAGACAAACAGTATGTTACCACATCCAGTCAGGCCTTCCTGAGTTTCCTGTGTTGTCTCCTTGTAAATTACATGAAACTCGAGAATTCTCAGTTTCTCTTTTATGCCTGCATGGCACATCCTTTTGTTGCCCCAAACTGCCAAACTTTGTGAGAATTTTAATCACAGTTTCATTTGTTCATTTTTTTGCATACAGTTATTTAATGTCTTCCCAGTACCACCATGGAAGGCCTTCCTAATACAGACTGTGCTCATATGTCAGAAGGAGCAAGCTGAATTGGCTATGCTCGGTGTCCACATTGGCACGGGACAAGGCATGGTTCCTTGTGCTCCTGCGGAAAATCTGTACAAAGCTAAGAGGTTAGAGCTTTAGAGTTTCTGCTGGTTGCCTGCCTACTCTTAGTTATGTTAGAATGCAGGAATGAGGATGGGGCAAAATGCTGATTCTGTCACACTTGACAAAGAGTAGCAAATTTCAGCATTTGCTGGCACTGTCTTTTAGAATGTGGGTTAATAGATCATTTGCTTCAGAATCACCCATGGTGTTTGTTAAAATAAAGATCTTGTATTGAATCAATCACAGGGTTGACAGGCTATTGAGAAGAAGTATGGAAGGCTGTGCTTTTTCATAAATTGCTTAGGTCACTTTTACAGCCTCTAAAGTTGAGAACCACAGAGAGGGATTGGTAACTGGATTTAGGTAATTATTTGGAAGCTTATGAAACAAGTATTTTAAGTTTGCGTCTTCAGATCAGCTGCTTTGTGCAAAATGCTGGAAATGTATCAAAGTTGACACACGTGAGTTTGTAAAATCCTATAATTTCAGTTAACTAGCCGTTTCTGAATGAATTTTCTGCTCTGTGATTCCTGCCAACCACATGGAGGGGAACTAGAGGCAAAGTCTTATGGTAGGATCATGGGATGAAGGTACTAAGTAAAAACACTCAGTAACAATGAACTAATTTTGCTGCATAAATGCTGCTAGCCAATAAAATACATGCAAATTATGTTGTATATATTCCCAGAGCAAACCAGGGTTGTCAGATCTCCAGAGACAAATGGGATAAGGAGGTCAGCATCAGGTGCCACAGGTGACTCTGTCTATTAAATGGCAGATACTTGGCTGTCACGTGGACGCTGTGACAGGTAGAGTGACAGGCACTGATCACTGGATAACCATGATGGCTAGGAGCTTCAGAGGGCCTTATGAAATAGGACAGGAGCTTGGGGAAGAGTTAAGACTTTGGCTTAAAGAATGTTTCCCGTGGGAAGTGGGCCAGCTGGAAAATTGCTGAGAACCAAGGACATGAGGTGAAGCTATGGGGAATGAGATGTTGTGAAAGCTGGAGTTGAAAGGAGAGTGATGGGGTCAATCTACAGAACTTTGGTGCAGAATTACCAGTCAAAACAGGTAAAAAGAATTTCTCCTGACAAGGTGAGATAATGGTGCAAAGACTCTACACACACGCAAGGATGTTTAGCTCACTGGCATGAGATATGTGGATAATTGGAAGTAAGCTCAATGTCCCACGATGGGAAAATAAATGATTTGTAATACATTATTGTGATACAAGGTACTATAATTGAGGATAATGAACGTGGTGACCATGCACCCTAACTCTGTAGTCTGAAAGACATGAATCCAGATTCCAACTTTGTTTTCACTGAGGAGCCTTGGTAAGTAATGGGAGCCTCAGAATTCTTATGTAAAACATGGGGACAAAATAGGAAGAAATGAAGTAA